ACTTCTTTCAAGTTATTTTTTCCAAATACACTAAAATTGATATAGTATAATAAGATTTGTTTTCTATGCATGATTATCAAAAGTAGCACAACTACAATACATAAAAGAAACAAAATTTTCTTTTAAAATCATAATAGACAATACATTCATCAACTTTTTATTCCTAGACATAAATGCATTCTTTTTTGTACTTAACTAGTTAAGATACTACATTACTTAATAACTTTGATGTTACATCACAGAGGTACTTTTATCTTTATTTTTTTTTGTAAAATAATTATATCGCCTACACTTCTATTTTTTCTTTCTTTCAGAGTTACTCGACATTATATAATTAAGTTTGCGCGTTTTGAGTCTTCTTGGGAAGCATTTTCTTTTAGGATCAACATTAACTACTTCATTCGTCCAAGTTGTGCCGCCGATATGTTCGAATTATTTATTAGATATCATAATTGTAATTTAAAAACATTTCGACTTTATACGACATTATTGGATTCTTTCCACATATAAATATGAGTTATAAAAAGTCAGTCTTACTCAAGTATTACTCTACGTAGTAGTTAACAGGCAAGTAGCAGTTATATTTAATATTACGTTATCAATGTGCACGATAATATATAAGATGGTAACAATAATTACATATAACAAACCTTAGAAAAGAATGCATTTGATGAAATGTTACACATTAGCTGTTAGTGGCTATTTTGATTCTTCATAGATCGTATTACTTATGCACTTATTACGAAAAAAAATTAAAATTAAATGTTTTTTCCAAGATCATAAAGTTTGTCGTTTTATCAGACAATATTATCAATTAATAAACAATAATATTACGACACTACAAGCTAACCGATAAGATGTTCCTTTTTAAAATAGAAATAGTACATATTTAGTATTTAAAGGTATATCTTAATCCTTAGATTAAATACATTTAAAAAAATTAATATTGATAATAGTAAGGCAGTCTGTAACATGCTCTCAAATAAATTGCATTAAAACTTAAAATATGAATAATTAATAAAATATATCATCTTTATCATGTATTAATAAAAATAAATTCCGAAGCAGCAGTCATTAGTTATTAACGTTTATTACCATTATATGCATCTTCCCACCCATTTTTAATTTTTTAATAATAAATTCCACATTATTGGACCGTAAATATTAATATTGCAACAAACAGTACCTTTGGAATGTATAATTTAATTCTAATATGTATCAAATAATTCCTTTATTTATTTGTCGATATAAATTTCAATTTTTAAAGGATGGGAAATTGTTAGTCATTACTTCCAAATAATCTCCAATTTGGTAACTGCTTTTTAAATAAGATTTTAGTAAAATTAAGAAAACCAAAACAATAAGCAAAAAGTTATTAAAATTGAGATCTACAAAATTTGAGAAATTCATTAATTTTGGAAATGCTTAGTATTTATAACAAATAATTAAATATTGTGCGTCGTTAGCAAATTACGTTATTATCAGAGGCGTACTTAGGAAACATTCTGTTCTCAGAGAGGATTATGTCTATAACGTTATTGTACATTTTACGAATAAAATAAAATTTGTTTTTAATAAAAATAGGGAATAATTAACTATTTTGATCGTCGGCCTAAGTACGGCTCTTATATTTGCAAACGACATACGGCCCTTCGTAATATCAAAGAACGAAAATACCAAGATGGTAAAGCAATTAAAAATATCGACAAGAATTGTGGACTAGGCACCAGTCTGCGACATTTATACAACTATTTATGCACAATTAATAGAATTGGTGATTTTTTTACGAAACGCTGATTAAAAGACAACCGAAAACCTTCAATTTCGTTAATTTATACAAATTTATAAAATCTGAAGTAAAACCGATGTTTATTTTTACAAAAATGGATTTGTTAACATATTAACAACTAATTAAGATATTCCTGAAAGCTTTGGATTGCCTAAGTTATCATTTTCGCAATTCACCAGAAGGAAAAAGACTCGACACTTAAAAAGTACTGCTGCCACACTACACGAAAAAAAAAATATATACATATAATCATAGTCATATATTAATAAATATCTTCTTCAATTGCATACAAAACAATACTTATATTTACTTTGTGTGTTGCTTGTTTCGTTTTATTTTTTGTATAATATATTAAGCAGTTTTTAACGAGGAACACGTTGTGTCGACAAGACTTATATAATAAGTTGGCAGTAGGTGGAAAAGGTACCTGTGGGGTACTTTTAAAAGGGAGACGGGGGGTGAACGTGAAAGGGTGAGGAGGAAGATGAGATTATGAATAATATATTATAATAACGTTCAACAAAACAAGGATAAAAAGAATCCTTTTACATTACCACGATAAAAAGTCAATACTGTTCAGTTTTGTATGATTATTAACAATAATCGTAATGGCATCTCGTAGATGGTTCTAAAGAGAGATTTTTCTTGGTCCCCAACGACCATTTCGTATGAGCACATTTGTATAAGTATTTATTATTTTTTTTTTCGGCTTTTTAAATGTAAAATATTGCAAAACTTATACAATAATACCACTCCTCTGTTACGGAGATCGAGGACGGTACCATTGAGTAAGTCCATTTTTACATTCATCATTTTTGTACTTTAAAAATTAACATTTTATATGTTTAAAGAATACGCTTACCAGTTTATCAAAATTTAACTCAATTTTAAACGTCTCTTACTACATTTCAATGACATTCTTACATTTCTTTCAGTTGTTATTGCAAATAAAATAAACAACTGAAAAATTATACAATAGTTTCGATTGTCAAGTTAACGAACAAAAGTTTGCTACTTAATAATTACTTTTCGTCCTGTTTTGTTAACTAAAAACGCTTTGATAGATTCAATTACTTACATACATTTCTTTCAGTTGTTATTATTACAATTGAGCAACTAAAAAAATTGTACAATTGTTTGGATTTCCATGTTAACAAACAAAAGTTCTTTCTAAGTGATCTCTGAAAAAAGCCTTCATTTGTTAGTCTTTATGAAGGATTAGATTTAAAATGTACCCAGAAAGTGCCACAGAGACTTGGAATACAGTATCCCAAAAACACATAAAATGTCAAAGCCTTAAGTTACTTAAACGCTAATCAGTAACAGTAAACGAATAAATTAGAACAATCTACAGAGAGCGTACATTAATTGTCGATTTTTGAATGCATTAGATCGTTATCATTACCTATTGTCGACGTTATGCTCCTGTTAACGTTATTACTACTACACGAGACAGGTGTCTGCTGTTTCTCGGGCTTTTTCGGGAACAGAGCCGATCCGTGATCAGCAGCACCTTGGTTAGATGACTCGTCATACCCCGAATCCGAGCTGGTGTCGCTGTAGCTTTTTCCTTTAGTAGCGGCATCGTTAATTTCGAGTTCGGTCTTCTCCAATGACGCCCTCCTCTTTTGACACTTAGCCAATCGGGCCGAGCACGGTTTTAAAAACCTAGGATCGACCAAAACTTCCCCGTTTGGAGCTTTGAAAATCACTCCGCAGCAAATCTTCTCCCTAAAATGAAATTTTATTTTATTAGGTTCACAAAATTGTCCCCAAAATACACAGCACAATTTAATTTATTTTTTTTTCTTTCGTAACTGTAATGCAAGAAATTATTTTATATTTATTATTATATTTTTCCTCTAAATTCTGTTTGCGTGAACTACTTAACATTTTTCAGCCAGCAAATTTCAGAGATAAAACAGTAATAAAAGTATCGCATTGAGAACTCCCTCTTATATTTTTATTGGTCTGGAACCTTAGAAATTATTAAAAGACGTACTTAGTCCAAAAATCCAGATCAACAAATCCACTGATTTCAGGTAAATTGTCCCGTCTTTTGGCCTGTCCCTTGAGTCGTCTACTGCTGTGACGGGAAGTTGATCCTGGGGCACCTTCTTCATAATCGCTTGCACCTGGACTCGCGGTTCTGCTGGATCGGTTGCTGGGATCGTTGTCAGACGATGCGAAATCCATGTCGTTCATTTCGACATCCTGGACGCCTCCGTCACTCTTGATATCGTCCGACAGCGCGGGACTGTATTCACGATCAAAATCATCGTCGTCGGGACGATGACGTCGTGGACGATGGTCGTCCTCCTGGTCCTGTTTCTTTTTCTTCTTTATCGACGTCAACTTGTCTCCATTATTCTTGTTCTTGCTCTTTACCTTAGTCATCGATTTCATGCCGGGACCTGCACGAGCGTCCACCACCTGTTTGGGGTACCAAAGGTACATTTTTGTTGCCGTGAACATTGTATTTGTTGTACAGAAATATTAAAGGTGAAAGTTAATTTTTTAACGTCTTTCTGAGCGTTTGTTTTTTAAAATTACATTGTTTTTTCAAGATATCTAGATTTGACCGAAAAATGTACACTTACATGTCGCCAGTTTCGGTCAGAACCTGCTGGTAATTTTTTCCATCTCTTTACCAACAAAACACACGCATTACATATCTCCCCTTGTCGTGGGGTAGACAACTGGAAGCATTCTAAAAAGTCTTCTTCGTACTTTTTGCTATCAGTGAATCTCGAACTACAAAATATAATGACAATAAAAAAAATTTAAACAGTAGCAGATCAAATCAATTTCTGTTCTAATTACCTGCTCGATTTTGCTTTACAGATACAACATCCTGTTGTTGACCTGTACACTTTGGGCCTATGAAACGAAAACATCTTGCACAGGCGCTCCTGTAAAGTAAGAATAAATAATAAAACTACTATATAAATAATCATTTAACACAACTCAGTAAATTATTAATTAGTTTGAACGCATTGTTATCATGACAATGTAATTTAAAATGGGTTCACACCTGTATATGCGATTAAAATAGTTTAAAAGTTTAGTTTTATTATATTAGTAGTAGTATATAGTTATAATTAAGCTTAATTTTAATACGAGTGATCGTCCACTCCTGGAATGTTTCTATTACCTTACTTGGGTACATTGTACCTGTTTTATTTCATTGAAAACTTGATGTGCTGTTGAACTGATTTAACGCGACCTTGGGTTCTATTGAACCCTAATTTTACAACTAAGGTCATCGACAGAATACGTTATATACTAAATAAAAAAATATAAAATACGGTTAACTAAAACCAATTTACGATTTATCATTAGACCGTTTCTAATTTTTTATTTTACATATTTGAAGTGCAGGCATTTAGTTAGCTAAAGGACCTTAAACATAATTATACTTTGAAACCACACTCCCAAATTTCTAATTAATGGTCAGGAAATTTAAGAAAGGTCATTGTCTCGCTTCATTGTCTAGTAATTCTTATTTTTTGTTAGACGATCGACATTCCTTTGTCGTTCAAAAATTCGTAAAAAGGTATAGGTACCTATTAATACAGTGTGTCACAAAAAAGGCGCCCTCTCAAAATCATCTACCGTCATATTCAGAATTAAATTTAAGAATAGCTTGTTTGATATTAAATAAGATTCCAAGATCATTATAATTATAGTCAGATTGGAATTTTATTTACTCGATTGGACCATTACTATTCTATTTTTAAAATTGTTTCAACCTAAAGCCAAGTAAACAGCAAAGGAGTTAATAAAGTAATGCTGAGGTATATTGAAAACAATTTGTAAAAAACAATTTCTGATCTTGCATTTACAATTTTATCTACCATAAAATCATCATTCTATGCATCGGGCTGTAAATGTACACAATTATGCAGTGCAGGCGCAACTAGTTTTCAATAAAATAAAAATCAAACACGTTTTCAAGCTAGCCTATGTAGTTCAATAGTCCCATTAGAATGTCGACTACATTTTTTTGCAGAATAAACGAACCAATAAAATTCATTCTGTATTTATTGTATTTTTTACGAAGGTTATCATTTTAACTACCTATAATACAGCAGATTAGAAATTCAAAAACACTGATAAAATATCAATCCTGATTGGTTTTTTTTCTTATATTTATGTAGAGTTCATATTTCTGATAAGTGCAGTAGTAAGTGTAGCACAACAAAAGAGTGCATTTGTATTTATAGATGCAGAGAACAATCACTTTTTGTTTATCTTCATATTATAAGCGTAGAACATGTCTATTTATACTACCAACACGTATGTAAATATATGTGTCTGTATGCCTGCAATATAATATGGTAATATGCGACAAAGAAAATATTTTATCATAAATTAAAATTTAATTGATTCCGATCGTAAAATTTATAAAATAAAACAGAATATGTACATTAATTGTCTAATAATTCATAATCAAATTTATCTTTTAATTAGATGTTGGTACTTTAATCAGTACATAATTAGTTTTGTAGACAAACTTTAGCATACTTGACCTGGGCTAAAAAGTTATTGTATACTTATATTTGTTTTACAGGAATCGAATTACAGAAAGTAAATGATACAACGGTAAACGCGGAGGGAATGTGACACCCTGTATATAACATGTATGTATAAATATATTACGTGATCAAAAGTGGGGTTGCAATGGCGCTAAGATAAGGTCATCAACCTCAAGCTTCACGTCTTTGACATTGAATCGATAATCTAACACTTATGTATAACACGTTAATTATTACTATAATTAAATTAAACCATTTCAATAATGACTGATCCCGTATAATAAGGCTGTTTATTATAAAAATAATATTGTATAAGAAAACAAAACATAAAAGGGCTCTGTTAGTTTTCTTTTATGTTTTCACTCTTCCTGTAAAATGCATAGTTCTACGTTTTCATTATCAGTTTTCTGAAGTAATTAAGAACTTGCACCATACATCTACTTTCTTTTAAGTCCTCCAAGACCAGTTTAGTAGGTCACCAAAAGACCGTTACGAAATCGAATAGAGGAATTGTTTACAAGATGCATAGTTAAATTTATACATATAAGACCTTATCGACATTCAATACATTATTTATATGATGCAACGATACAATTGCAATTAATGATAATGCAATTTGTAAATTAAATTATAATATACATATATTTGTAAATAAAATGTCAAAATTGTTTTGGAAACAATCTACCTATTTCGTATACAGTACCATTATGAAGCGATTACAACTATTATTAGTTAATTTTGAAAATATTTACTCAACTTTCTACTATTATTATTATTTTTGATTAAACAAAATTGTTACTGACGACAATAACATAAACAATAACGATTGAAACAGCAATTTGGAACACAAATAAACGAACTAATAAAACTATGTTTTAAGAAATTTTAAGTAATTTTTAGCAAAAAAAGGAATAAAGGCTTAAACTTGCCACATCGTTTTCTGAAATTAGGACAATCCACACACGTGTATTAAGAGAAAGCTGTTGGCTTGGATGGCTACGTGCAGACATACACTCGCGCATCGAAAGGATTACGAAGTAAAACAACTAACTCGAATATCGGCGACATGAATTTTATGATATAAAATATATCTCAGATAGACTTATAATTGAAACAATAAACGATTGATGTTGTGTTCAAATAACATACCTTTAGCATTTAGCAATTTTGAAACGGTATCGTAGCAGTTTGCTTCATAATGCTCCAAACAGCCGATAGGACGCCAAGAAATTATAACGTTTTATAACTTAACTAACATATAATTTAATATGACACTCACTGCACTATATTAATGATGCCACAGACATTCATTTACAGTGTGAATCATTGTAAAATTATTTGTACATTTTGAGTAATTTTTGAAGGAAAATGGATCAAGCACTTACCGATGCAACACAGGTGACGGATAGTAACACAGACTTCCATTGCGCATTTGTTTGCGCACTACATATCTGTTTTGAAAATAGAATAACTTAATTTAAACTAATAAATACTTTTTGTGGTAAATAAAAATGTACAGTTAATTTAAATATTAAATTCTTCTAAAGAAATTATGAATTATTTCTAATTAATTGATTCTACCATATTAAAAGTAACAGTTAAAGTAGTACTTCCGGTGATCAATATAAGAGCGTCAGATTCAAAATGAAGGAAGTTAGTTATACTCATTATCTCCTTATCAATCAATTTTTTGTATTAAGTATAGATAAGAGGGCATTAGGAAACGTTATATAACAAAAAGTTCGATTAAAAGTTGTTTTTAAATATTTTTTCTTGAATATAATATAAAGTAAAATATCTATGGGAAAAAGTAAGCCACGCCCATAGCTGACAAAAATCGTATAACCTATTATCTATGCGTATAACAAAACAACAATCATTTTTGTCAAGCATCAGCTGATTACGTTTTAATGATTCAAATTTAATTATTATGGGTTTAAATACATTGTAGTGATCCTTTCTTCATAATATAATTTTCAAAAGGTGCCCCCATTTTTAATTTTTGTTCAAAAACAAATGAAATAATCAAATGGCTATCAATTCTGGAAATGGAAAAACTCACAACTTTAAAGTGGTGCTTTTGGGTGAGGGTTGTGTAGGAAAAACTAGTTTAGTTTTAAGATATGTAGAAGACAAGTTTAATTCTAACCATATTAGCACAGTGCAGGTAAAATTGATTATAACTTACAGTAGTTGAGCAGCAGCAAGTGTGTACGTACAACAGTTTGTTTTCAGGCTTCTTTTTTAAGTAAAAAGGTAAATATTGAAGGAAATAGAATAAATCTTGCAATCTGGGACACAGCAGGTCAAGAACAGTTTCATGCATTGGGTCCACTGTATTATAGGTCTTCAAATGGTGCAGTTCTGGTCTACGACATAACAGATGAAAAATCATTTCAACGAATAAAAATTTGGGTAAAAGAACTTCGAAAAATGTTAGGAGTAGATATATGTTTAGTAATTGTTGGAAATAAGACTGATTTAGAAAGTGATAGACACGTTTCTTTGGAAGAAGCTGAAAGGTTAGTTTAAAAGTTTGTTTTGTACTCTTGATTAATAGTCTGTAAAATATAATTGAGTGTTACCTGATTATGTGGAGTAACATCTTTTAATTTTAGTTATGCTGAGAAGGTTGGTGCCCTGCATTTTCAAACTTCTGCAAAATTAAATGAAGGAGTAGAGGCAATGTTTTATGCATTAACTCAGAAAATGTTGGAAAAAACTTTAGAAAATGAAACACATAATGTCTCTTTAGCAGGGCAGAACTCTCAAAGTGGTAACATTTTGGTAGTTGATGATGAACAAACTCCCTCAACAACAAAACACTGCTGTGGAAGTTCGTAGGATCCTGTCATTTTTTATTTATAAATTTGTTGATTTTGCATGTTATTTATGAATTATTCTTGTTATTATTGACTAATTTTATCCACTAATGAAACTAATAAGTTGTCACCATAGACAAAAACACAGTAAACTTGTAAGAAGTGTAATAACGACCAATGTAAAGCATATTAAAAAATAATCTGTAATGTGTTTATTACAGGGCAAACTGACCAAACATTGAAAATTTGCCTAATTTTATACATTAAATTGTTACTTTTAATTTGAATCTTTAAACTGATAGTGATACAGCATGCAAATTAGATTAAAAAACATCAAATGTTGATTAAGATACTAAATTGCTTTATCAATGCCATTATTATTACATTATATGCTACTTAAATAAATAAATATCCAAAATATTAATATCGTATTGTTTGCATCCGTAATATTTGTACAAGGTGAGCAAAATAATTGCACTTCAGTTTTATATTTATTTTTTCAGCTATAAAATGTTCACAAACTGTTTGATCGCTATTACTAGTAATGAGCCTCTAATAAATACAGAAAATAATTTACAATATGAGAATAAACCGAATATGAACAGCAAGAAGGCACATGAAAAACTATGAGGAAAGACAATACGATTGTTAATGAAATGCAAACAGACAATTACGAACTTCGGTTTTTCTAAAGATTATACCGAAAAAGTATTTACAAATTCAACAGGTGTTTCTTCACTAAAAAGGGTTTAAAATGATTCGGACTATTTCATACATAATTACAAAAGAAAAAAAAAAACGCTCAAGTAAACCCTTACATAAAAATTACTAATCTATAACACAGATACAACTGTACAATATAATTACAGGTGACATTAATTTAATACAATATCAATTATAAATTACAATTTAGTATGTGTAGCACCATTTTGATCAATAAAAAAAAAATGGGAAGGATTCTGCCTGTATTGGTTCAATGATATTTGATTTGAATAGCAATTAAACGACAAAATTTAACTTCTGAGAGGCTTCTAGGTCAAAAAAAGATTCGGTTTATTATCGAACTTGAACGTATCGAAATGTGACGAACGACTGATGTATTTAATTTAGTTATTTTTTTTATAAAAGGCATTTTTTTCCTAATTGACATGGTACGAGCCTTCATAACGAAAGGCGCGAAAGTACTTTCTAAATACAATAAGAAAAAACAACAAATAACCACTATTAGTACAGGAATTTGTTTAAACAGACACACAACGATAATAATAATTATTACATGTTTATCAACGACACCGTACTTCATTAATTAACCTGTTTCGGCCGAAATACGCTACTACGTAGAAGAAAAAAATGCAAGAAGTCATCAAGAAGGAGATAAACGCACTAACCGATCCTGTCTCAGGGGACCTTCGCGTTATACAGGGCAGGAATAAGGACGGGATAGGACAGAGTACAAACATTATACCGAGACAAATTTAAAATTAAGGAAGAAAAAAGAAAATGCATGCACAAAAATAGTTCGAAGTCAATAAATAAAATTAATACTAATACTTGTCAACACGGTACAAATCGAGTGTAAGAAGGAGGGGGATTCACCAACGATAGTGTTACAGCTGAAAAAGCTATTTGTTTTTTTATCACTTAACGACCATTGTGGTATAGTAATAGTAATAATAGTACAATTAATAAAAAAAAGAAACAGCGAACAGTAGGAAATATAATAAAACTACACTGTACGCTAATACTACTTTGAAAGTTTACTAATAACACGAATTAGGGCTCCGTTCTCGTCTTTTAGCCTCTGGTTCTCTGTCTTCAGTACTTCTAGTTGCTAAAATAAAACAAATACAATTATTGCGAATTGCAACGATAAATGTTTGCAGAACATGCTACGGTAAGTATCAAACCAAATAGGTGGACAGTTTGACAACAGATGCCATTCACGGTGGCGTTTGTATTATTGCATGCAAAAAAGATGCAAACTTTAAGCGTCTTGTAGCTTTTTAAAATAAGTTTGAAAATATTAGTTTACAATGGCCTACATATAGTGCACACGATATATTAATATAATTATCGTCAAACTGTCGTCAAATAAACACTGAAGATGTTTGGAAGAGAAAAGTAAATATTTTAACACCAAAGATTATAATAATTTATAAAGGATAATAAATTGCCATTTAATTATTAGTAAAGAGGAACTTGAAAAATAATTTATTGGGCAAAGACAATACTAAAAGAGTATAAAGAAGAATACAGATTAGTTAGTGTTTCTCTGTACCATGTAAAATTAACGTACATATGCCTATATTTTACTTCTTACACTCCTTTTTTTTCTGAAAAGCAATTTTGAATAATAACAGCATCGACTGAAATTGAAATTGCAATTTCGTTTCAAAATTCTAAAGTGCAATACAAGCGTTTTTAAGCAAGCCTTTAGTAAAAGCAGAGTTACAAAATCAAATGGGTAACAAACATAAATGAATGACATCGTTAGCTCCTTTTTATAAAAAAAAAAATTGAGAGTAAATTAGAACTATAAACTGACATAAGGTAATTAATCAGCTTCAACTGTTAGCAACAGTTTAACACCGGTTGCAAACAATGAATAACAATCGTTAGCAACAGTTGTACACTGGTTGCGAACAACGAATAAAAGTTGTTAGCAGCAGCTGAACACTGGTTGCCAAGAATGCATATTATATTTTTAGCAACAGTTGAACACCGGTTGCAAACAATTAGCAACAGTTGAACACCGGTTGCGAACAACGAATAACAATCGTTAGCAACAGTTGAACACTGCCTGCAAACAACGAATGACAGTTGTTAGCAGCAGCTGAACACTGGATGCTAAGAATGCATATTATATTTTTAGCAACAGTTGAACACCGGTTGCAAACAATGAATAACAATCGTTAGCAACAGTTGAACACTGGTTGCGAACAACGAATAACAGTTGTTAGCAACAGTTGAACGCTGGTTGATAACACTTGTTATCATTATCGAATTATTTAATAGTTTTTGAGTAACAAAAACGTGAAATAATGCCAGGTATGAAAGGAAATGTCAGTTTACAGTTAAAAAAAAAAAGAGTGAAAAAGTGTTCATTGGGTTAGATATGAACATATTCTGTGCAACGAATCCCTGTAACTGAACACAAAAATGCTGATATTACAAAAATCACATGGACATGAGAGAAAGATACAGACAGATAAAAAAACATAACTTCAAATGTGAGACATAGCTTGCATGTGGCGTTTGCTACAAGTAAAAAAAGATTTGAGAAAATTTACATGTACTTATACAATGTTCCACATACTCGTCACTGTCTTTTTTACCTATTTTTTTGCAGAGTTGGTAAGTTTGCTGACGACGCGTGTAAGGGCCCGATTTTCGGCCCGTAGCCGTTCATTCTCCGCTTTCAGTTTTTGCAATTGCTAAAAAAACAATTATTCCCTGTACCAATACAACATTCTTTTCAACACTAATCAACAGGAAAGCATTTTGCACACAGTAGTTGTTGTTATGTGTTTCGGTATTATTAACGATTTCATGTAAAAGTAGTGTAAGGACAAAAAATAAATAAATAAACAAAACAAAAATGTTTATAATAAGCAGGCGCAGTTTAAGCTTTTTGCTAAACGTGTTCTTTTCGGCGACAACACGGGATTCAAAAATTCGCTTATGGAAACAACGACAAAATTGTTTCTCAAAAATAAAACAGAATAAAATGTGTTAGTGTTAAAAGGGTTAAGGGTCGATCGGTTTGTAGAATTGTTAAAAAAAGTCCTTTCGATAGACTAAAACATTCAATAAAAGAGTACAGTGCTAAGCATATATAGGCATTTAGGCAACTATAACTAGTCACTAGTTACTTTCACGACTGACTAATCAATTATACAGTTTTTGTTACCTTCAATTCCTCTTCCATTTCACTAAGTTTCCTTTCCATTGCCCTTCTTTCCCTTTTCTCTAATTCGGAGAGGGAGTTTTTACTGGTCTAAAACGATCAAAAGTTAAAGAACATCGCCGTTTAACAGGTGCAAACGAAAATTAGACACTTACAACAGTGTTTATTCTCTCTAGAGTTTGTTTGGTGTCCTTCAATTCGTCCTCGGTTTTACGAAGTTTATCTTTGAGTCTGTCATTTTCGACAAGGGTCTGTTCGTACAACCTTTTGTAATCTATCTCTCCATTTTCACCTCTCAACACCAGATCGCTAGCACTTCCCAATCTGGAACTCCTACTCGATTTTTCTGTTCCACTCTGCAAACAAAATGAGCAACGACTTACTTAAACGATTTCATTTCTTCATTAATAAGATTAACAGCCTCTAATAAAGGCATTATATTCGTTATAAAGCCGTTTTATTTCTGCATATAGTTTAATGTCTCGCACACCGGATATACAAAGCATACAAACAAATAACTTTTGCATTTCCTTAATTCATGTGACTTGAGTTCTTTCTTTATCTATTTAACTACCTTTTTCTTATTATCTATTTTCTTACTATATATCCCTCAGAGGCTAGCGAATTAAGAGACGTGAGACTGATCGATTTGGATCCCATTCCGAGGCTGTTGAGCGAACTTTGAGAACGGGACAACGATCTGTCCCTGCTGAAGCTCCCCGTTCGCGAAACGGGCCTGTTTTGACGTCCCGCTTCATATTTCTTGGCGTAATTCGAAACGTTGGACGAATTCTTGTAACTTTTAGCGGGTATCGTTAAACTGGCGTAACCGTTAGAGGCGGTAGATCCCCTATAATCGTTTTGGAAATACGGACTCCTGTAGTTCGACGTGTACGTCGACAGGTTGTTGTATTGGGGGGTAGTGGCGGTGTTGTACGTTGACGGATAATAGTTACTTGCGGTTGAGGGTTGCGATGGGGCGTAAATGTTTGAATTGGACCCGAAGTAGCCCGCACTTCTCGGTCTCGGATAGGAAGAGGGCGAAGAGTTGACATTGGGGGAGTTGCGGACAGTTGAGGAGGAACGTTGACGGGCAGACGGGTGCGAGGGGTGGCTATTTCGAAAAGACATAACGTAACTTGTTTGGAACCACCGGAAACTATTTTACCGCGTGTCGCACAACAATAATAATGGTCTTTATAAACTGGATCCAGTCTGTAACCGTAAAACTGTTTCGAATCGGACCGACTGAAATGCGATTGAAGTAAACCAAGTCTAATTGCGAACTGATGATGTTCGGACGTGTTATTGGACGGCAAACATACGCGATAGCGTCGTAGTTGACGTGCATCATCAAAACATACACAACAGATGTATCCGACGCTCTCGACGGGACAGGGAACAAAAGATCCGAGTAAGTAACTCGTTCCAAAAATATTATGTGTGCACGTTTCCTCCGCCGAACGATTATAACATCGCGCCCGATGCACAAATACCGTAATTAAACGAAATTCTTGCCTCGTTTCTGGCAGAATCGAATTTATGACCGCTAAAAGGTTTAACCGTCTCTAAATATAACTCGCACTACGAAAGCTATTTTAATATTGCCGCCAATATGAATCGGAGCGACGTCCCACTTCTTGTTATGATAAAATAATAATAAAAAAAAAAATAGGAGAGTTTTCCTCGTAATTAGCGTAATTCCTGCGTAACGATAATCCAAGCAAAAAACTCTCTTATTACATAAAAAAAAAGAGACAAAAATAAAAAACCAGCGAAGGTGGGCTTGGAATATTTCCAAAAGTATAAAAGAACAGAAAAAAGTACCAGAAGTCAATAAAATAAACAGGGCGTCTTATTAGGTTTAATTTCGATCGTCTATCTGGCCTAATTTTCTATAAACTAGCTGTACTCGGAAGTCGAATTATATTTAACTCAATTGATGCAGAATTATACACTCGTAGAGGTGAGTTAATTTATTTTGAAAGCACGTGAGAAATAAAACGTCACAGACGCCAAATGGCATCGGGAAACGGATTTGATTGAGTGCCAAAATTAGTCACTTTCGTTACATTTGAAAGGGCGAAACGATAAATTAAATCCAAATACGTAATGCCAATAAAACGAGCCGACAACGACACGTTACAATTTCGAAAGTGAATTATCTTTTTGGCCACCTTTCGCATGGTCAATTTAAGTATAGATATAAGATGTAAATTAAAAAGGAAATGACAGGAGTCAACAATCGAACACTGGTTGTTAATAACGAGTTTCAACTGTTGATAACGATAAACACTTGTTTTATACATTGTTGGTGCGTTTAATGCAGAATTTCAATTGTTCTCAACAATAAAAACAATTGTTCTGGTTGAGACAAAAGTTCATAGGACGCTATCAAACTTAGAAATGACGCGTCTGCTTTAAAATGTGTCACCCGATTTAGTTGTTCTACATTTTATATCAAAACAGCCAACGAGTTATTACAAAATTAAATTATGATGATGCCAGCTCGTTAGATTTAAGTATGACGCGTCTATTTTATAATGTGAAAGTGTTTTTTTTCAGTTTACGGCCTGAAATGTGTATGGATGCATATAAAAATAAATAAAGTGACCTGAAACTATCCGTTCGTGCGAAAACAACAAGATTAAACGTTTTGAATGACCAATTCATAACTGTCACAGTTACAGGAAAATACTTTTTGTGTTTGCTCGAGCAAAAAACATGTAAAACACTATCGACATCTATTAATAACAATAAAATATCTGTCGAAAGAAAAAAAGGCACAAAACTGAAAATGCTTGAAGTGCATCATGGTTTATAAATAAAAAACATGTAGGATAAAACTTGGCAATAATTCATAACAGTCTTGCCTTACAATAGTGATACGTATATTGTAGTGGAAGTCAATCAGCTAGTCTTTGTTTTCGTTCCGAAAATAACGGGACTGCCCTTCAACATTTTGTACTTTATTTTTGTGTATGAGGAAACGGAGGAAAAAAGTTTGCGACGGAAACGAAACGAGACAGGGACAAAAACAGCTGACATCGATTTATCACACAATGCGAAGGTGAAATGGGAACATTGTCCTCTTTTCGAATTAAAAACTGGAGATATTTAAACCTAACCGTTTTGATTGTCCCCTAGAGTCCCACTGTATCCAAAATATATGCATAATTAGAGACCGTTGGGGACTAAAAGGGTAGAAAATTCTCAGGAGAATAATAAGTACCTAGAGTTAGTAAAGTAAAACAAAAATACTGGTATGTAAGGGAAGAAAAAATAGGGAAAGAGCGAATATAAAGATGGGAGACGAAAGATTAGAACAAGTGACTGATTTTAGGTATCTAGGAAGTCAGATAAGTCAGGACGGAAGGAGTAGTAGGAATATAAAGCAGAGGATAGCGCAGGGTCGAGTCGCCTTTAATAAAAAGAAGTCACTTCTATGCTCGCGAACGGTTAATTTAGAAATTCGAAAAAGGTTGTTAAAGGTGTATGTTTGGAGCACGG